TACATTAGTACAATCTCATTTGGCTAGTTCCCCCAAGAGTTCTGGGAAGTGAGAGGTAAAGGCAGATTCTACTCATGGAGATAACCCTGGATGAAGCAGGAGTTACTGGAGACGTAATCATGAAAAGTAAGTTGTAACAATCCTGACTCAAGCAAGGAGGTGCAAACACACAGTCTTTGTGCCAGAGAAAGATCTCACAACATGAACAGGTGGGGCCACATTGAAATTTTAGGCTTGGCTGGCAGGTTTCATAGGCACTCCTGGTGAGAATTTCACACAGGTGTATTCAAAAGCTGCTGCAGCAATGAAAAAAACCCCTAAATGACCATTTACATATAAAAGACTGATTAATCACTTCCGATAAAGCTCTCCCCTTCCCACTTAAAGGGGCATGTGGTTAAAACAGCAGGCTGCACAGAAACTATTACACTGGTTTAAATGGAGTAATTGATCCCAAAATACTTATAGCCACATAAAAGAGATTAGAGTCTGGCCCAACAAAACAGACCAAATTCTATCAACAACCTCAAGGAACGTGGATGCTTGATATCAGGGGAGAGAAGTATTGTTGCCACCTGCCATTTCCACCAGAATCCACTGGAGAAATAACAGCGAAAAGGGGCTGTGCTCTTGACATGCTGTATTCTCAAAGACCTGTACCTAGTATTTATCATCACTTGAGGACCATGGCAGAACAGCTTTTAACCACATACAACCCTTCCACTCAGCTGGGCTAAATTAAAAATGAAGCATCACTGTACCACAGCACAGTTGCATTAGCACAAGTTCAGCATCCTTGCTGCCTGAAACCACATCTGGTGAGGTTCAAGCAGGTGAAGAAACTGCTCTCAACAAGATTCCTAACCACACTAGGTAGGAAACAGGAGTACCCTGATGCAATCCAACTCCTTTACTCCCACTGCTTGGTTGACTGACTGATCGACCACCTCAGCTAACTCAAGGTGATTTCTCTAGAATTCGGCAGAGATGTTAGTCTTTAAAAAAGTTGCTCAGTCATTTTAAAGAATTAGAATAGCAAAAATCACTTCACCTTTAATGTTTCCCCTAATCTTTCACATCCATGTGCAGAATAAATTTTGTTATACGTACACAGGCATCTGCAGATATTACCACCAGGAGAAACTTGCTGACAACTATGAGCTCTGTGGGTGCTCTGCTAATCAGCTAGGGGGCATCTGAATCTCTCCTCAGTGGCCACCCAAGTGCCCAGCTTACAGGGAACACTGCTGGTAGGTATTCTCCATCCCTGACTACTATGATGCTAGTGTTCTGAGGCTTTTCTTTTCAGATTTTTTATTAATACAGGGTGTGGCCAAGATTCCTGCAGTCCCATAAAGTTTGTTTTCAGCCACCAGTCCTTGCTCTCCATGTTCTGTGTTGTCGTTTAACTCTAATTTACCCCACAATGTTTTCTAAGTGCCCAGTTAGCAAGTGGAAGTGTTGGTAATGCTGCTAGACAATATTGACCTCTGTGGCTCTGCAAATTCCCTAATTCAGCACTGTTCAGGTCTCGAGGGTGCCACACTAGACAGGTTCATCCTTTACCACTGTTCCTGCAGACAGAGTAACAATGAAAATACCACAGTATCCAAGATTCCTCTATGAGTTCTCACAAAGTTAGTCCTTGCATATTCAGGTCTCCCAGGGAAGTCAAGGAGAATTTTGTAACATGGTATTTACTGGGCCCCTCATCCTCTTGCACATGGGAGAAATCCTAGATGGATGGGAGCTGCTTGCAGAAACATTCCACTTTCAAAGGGGGTTATTTCCTTTTTAAAAAACACTAACTTTTTTAGCCAATTTTTCATCAGTCTGATTTAATCCGTCCCAGCTGTAGAGGAGAATGCTGGCTCCTTCACAGAGATATTCCCAAATGCACATATTCATTTCTAAACAGGTAATGGGTCTTGGCACAGCTGCTAGATCCTATGCAGAGGTTGCTTGTGACTTGTTGGGAAAGGAGTTGAATTCTCATCTCCTGTTCTAACCGGGAGGCAATTCACCCAAGAACCTGGAAGAGACCCTGGTCTAAATTTATGACTGTTTTTTTTACTATCCTGAGTATTTAGCAAAGGTTCTCTGAACATTTCTAAACAGGTAATGGGTCTTGGCACAGCTGCTAGATCCTATGCAGAGGTTGCTTGTGACTTGTTGGGAAAGGAGTTGAATTCTCATCTCCTGTTCTAACCGGGAGGCAATTCACCCAAGAACCTGGAAGAGACCCTGGTCTAAATTTATGACTGTTTTTTTTACTATCCTGAGTATTTAGCAAAGGTTCTCTGAAGGCCTGCAGATGGGTGGGATGGGGTTGAAGAGAGGGAGTAAAGAAGTCAACAGCCCCAGGGCCTGGCAATTCAAAAGGGCCTTTAAATCACAGCTGGAGCACTGGGTGGCACTGAAGGGTTGCTGG